GCCAAATCCCCCTCCCCTCCCCTCAATACAGTACAATAAAATTGGCAATATAATCACCATTTAAGACACAATCAACTGAAAAAAGGGGTGTCTTGTAAAAACACACAACAAAAAGTTTTAGTTTTATCTGCATGTGAATCATTTGTACAGAAGGAGAGAATGAAAACACACACAAAACACTTGCTGTGTTCTTATCTCAAAATACTCCAAAAGGCTTCATTTGTATATTTTAATCACTTTAATGCTGTAGGTGGTAGCTACTTATTTGTTTTTAGCCACACTGGGGACTTTGTTCTGAGGCAATATTGGTCTGTCTAGAAAACTCTTATGTTTTGAACTGATTTTAAATGAGGAATATCGGTTTATCTTAAAATTTCTATCAGGTTTTAGGTGCTTTTTGTATTTGCAAATGTTAAATGATTTTTAAATGTTTGTAAAAGAATAAAATAAAAATAAAATTTGCATGTTAAATAAATAAATCAATAAAATCTTCTCTTTTATGTTGTTGGGGCTTTTTTGTATTTGCAAATGTTACATAGTTTAAAAATTCTCAAGTCATTGTTTTTGTTTATGTGAAATCCTGATATCTTTAAAAGTTTACAAGAAATGCCAAATCCTTCTGTTAACAAGATCAATGTATAATTGACCAATACACCTCAATAAACATGTTGTTGCAGGTTTTTTTTAAAACTGAAGTTCATTTTGTAGAAAATGAAACTGTTTTAAGAGCTGCGTTTTTGAAGAAGCCTTTACATAATGCTAGACTGTGCAGAGAAAAAGCACCAGCTTCCTGTTTTCTTCACCATCACACAGGAAGGAACCAAGATACAGTTTCTTATGTGTCTGTGAATATACCCCTCAGTCACTCTCAGTGTGAACAATCGCAGGGTTCAACTGTTATTGAAGTAGGTAAGAATTTCCTTGAACTTGATTGAATTGATTGCCCTGATTGAACATAGTCATTATATATCTAAAAATGTTTTTGTTTTTAAATGTAGTTTAGTGGACCAGTTATATGATCCACTGGAAGTAATATGACTGGAGCTGTACAAGTCTTCATCTCATGTCCAAGACTCAGATAAAGACCATTTATGAGGAGTATCAATCCACAGAAATAATGTAGCATGCGGCTACAAGGGAGCTGATGAGAAAAACATGGAGCAAAAGAGTGTTGCTGATATTACGGACAAGTCCTCTCAAGGTAAGGATCTCAAGTTCTTATGGCAAAAAATTGAACAACAGTTGAATTCATGACCTAAAAAGCACCAGACGTGTCTTAATCTTATTTTGTTCCAGTGGTCTTTCACTGCACGGTATTTTTGTGACAAACTGTTGAAGTTAAGTTTTGTGGTTTCTCAGTTTCCTCTATTCAGGCTCTAGTTCATCATTTACATCCCAGCTACACCGCTCAGACTGGAGGATATGTGATCGCTCCCACCATCATTGGTTGTAACACTAGGGACATAAACATCAACATCTCAACAGACCAAGGTAGATAATCAAGATGTGGGGGTAACTGAAAATGGGGTTTGAGCTCTGCTGATCTTTTTCTTCTTTTGCAGGGTCTAAAGACGCATTAAATCATGACACCGCAGATGGCTGTGGCATACTGCAGCCCCAAAGTGAGTACTTACTGTAATGACTTTACTGTATGTAGGTGTTTGACACATTGACAGAAATTCTGAAATAAACTTTGAACGCATTTTGTTATTCAGATGAAAGGATCGCCGAATGTCAACAAAAACTGAAAGCTGCTCTGAAGAGGAAGTTTAGTCACTTGCTTGAGGGGATGACGAACAAAGCAAATAAGACATCTCTCAATAAGATCTACACAGAGCTCTACATCACTGAGGGAGGAAGTTGTGAAGTCAATAAGGAGCATGAGGTGAGACAGATTGAGATGGCATCCAGGATACATGTGGCTCAAGAGAAATCAATCCACTGCAATCACCTCTTTGTTCCTCTACGGGGACGAGACTACCATGTAAGAACTGTGATCACAAGGGGAGTCGCTGGCATTGGAAAAACCGTATCCGTCAATAAATTCACTCTAGACTGGGCTGAGGAGAGAGAAAACACCAACCTGGAATTTGTATTTCCTCTCTCTTTCCGAGAGCTGAATCTGATGAAAAAGAAAACCTTTAGTCTAGTCGAACTTCTCAGTGTCTTTTTCCCTGAAACAAAAGAAACAGGAATCTTTGTTAATGGTAAATACAAAATGCTTTTCATCCTGGATGGTCTGGATGAGAGCCGCCTGTCTTTGGACTTCAGCAAAAGTGAAGTAATGTCTGATGTGACACAGGAAACCACGATTGCTGTGCTTCTGATCAACCTCATCAGGGGAAGACTGCTGCCTTTGGCTCTTGTTTGGATAACCTCTCGCCCAGTAGCTTCTTGTCAGATCCCTCTGGAGTATATTGATCTAGTGACAGAGGTGCGAGGATTCAACAACCCCCAGAAAGACGAATACTTCAAGAAGAAAATCAGCGATGAGAACTTAGCGAACAGGGTAATTGCACATGTGAAATCCTGCAGGAGTCTTCACATCATGTGCCACATACCGGTCTTCTGCTGGATGGCGGCGAGTGTTCTTGAGAAGACGTTTGGGACGACAGACAGTAAAGACACGCCAAAGACCCTCACTCAAATGTACATACACTTCTTGTCCTTGTTTGTGGACGACATGAAGAAAAGGGTGCCTGGAAGAAGAGAGTCAAACACTGACTGCTTGAGAGATAACCTCATGTCGCTGGGTGAACTGGCCTTCAAAGAGCTTGAGAAGGGCCACTTGATCTTCTATGAGAGCGACCTCATCCAGAATGGTATAAAAGTCAAGCAGGCGTCCATGTTCTCAGGAATCTACACACAGATCTTCAACGAGGAGCTGACGGTGTGCGAGGAGAAGATGTTCTGCTTTGTCCATCTGAGCATCCAGGAATTCTTTGCTGCGCTGTATGTCTACCTCAAATTCAACAACAACAACTTCAACGCCTTGATCAAGAAGTCGTCCACTTCGAGACGTTTCCCATTCAGAGATTCATCAGAGCTCATCCTCTACAAGGAAGCAGTGGAAAAGGCTTTGCGGTGCGAAAATGGACATTTGGACATCTTTCTGCGCTTCCTTTTGGGCCTGTCTCTGGAATCCAACCAGACTCTGTTGCAACATCTAATGACCAGCAACAGAACAAACCAAAAGACGAGGACTGAGATCATTAAACACATAAAGGAGAAGATCAGGGCAAGTCCATCCCCAGACAGATGCCTCAATCTCTTTCACTGTCTGAATGAGCTGAACGACCGCTCTCTTGTGGACGAGATTCAGAGCTACCTCAGCTCCGGCAGTCTGAACAAAGTCAATCTTTCACCTGCCCAGTGGGCCACTCTGGTCTTTGTACTGCTGACATCAGAAGAAGAGCTGAGTGTGTTTGTACTGAGCAACTACACGCGGTCAGAGGAAGGTCTTCGGCAACTAATGCCTGTCTTGAAAACCGCCCAAGTGGCAAAGTAAGTGCTTTTCTTTTTAAAAGCAGACAGCAAGCTTTAAAGTTTTTCTTTATGCATTTAAGTTAAAGATAGTCAGCTTCAGTGCTAAGATTATTTCTGGTATAGAAAAATAAACTTTAAAAACCCAGAGGGTGTGGTCAGGTGTGGTCTGTTGTACTTGAGACACTCTTGCAAGGTATGGAAAGAGCATGGGGTAAGCACTTTTTGGCAGCTCAAGCAAGATTATTTGTTTGGGTGCAGTTTATATATAACAGGAAAAAAAATATTCTATTTAGCAGTGTAAAAAGATTCATACGTGCAAATTAGAGTGGCTATAATTAATATTTTCAAATTGACAATGAATCAAATAACTGTGTAATGTGAAAAGTGTCGCTTGTAGTAACAAACCCTCAGATAATTATCATCCGATGCAGCAGTTCCCCAGATCCCCTTAGCATTGTTTTCAGACGCAACAGGCAGCTGTTTTTAACAAAAAGAGCTCACTTTACACTACCTGCCCAGCACCAATGGTAGATAAACAAAGTTATTGATTATGGGGTGAATGTAGTGGAGCATTTAGCAGCCAAAGAGACAGATATTTCCCTCTGGAGACCAAAAACAGAGCTTAAAGAGAGTATTTGACTTACATTCACCATGAAGGCAGAAACACGAACATTACTCTCCTGAACAGTTTGCTAACAAGGTAACCATATCAACTTAAAAGGTGCCCCAAGGGGCCAAAAATCCATTATTGCAATTGATATACCTCAAATATCGGTAACTTTGCATTCTAATATTTGGTGTTATGTTTGGTGTGTGTTAGGTTTCACATTACAGTTTGCATGAAACTATAGCTACTTCATATCATAATCATAATCATATTCCAAGCAGGGCTGAATAATATGCAGTAAAATATGAATAGAGTATGAACAGAATAGAAAATGTCAAATCTCAACATAATGGGACATTTCTTTATGACATTTATTCTCCTGCTGCTTTTCCTACTGCAGTCTAAATGGATGTAATCTCACTGTGACCTGCTGTGAAAACCTGGCGAATGAAATCAGCTCATCCCAATTTAGAGAGTTGGACCTGGGCAACAATAACCTGACAGATGCAGGAATAATACGGCTCTCGGGTGGACTGAAGAACAGCAAACTGGAGACACTCAGGTCAATATCCAACAAGTTTCCTTCTTCTTTTCCAAATGAAATAAAGATTTTACGAGTTATGAGAAAGTGGTTTTTAGCACTTTCTGTATTTTTTGTTTGTCCAGATTGAGGAGCTGCAACCTAACAGAGCACAGCTGTAATGTCCTGGCCTCAGTTATCAGCTCAGCCTCCTGCCAGCTCAAAGTACTGGACCTCTCCGACAATGATTTGGTGGATGTAGGAGTCAGAAAGCTCTGTGGTGGACTGGGGAGTCCTAACTGTAAACTAGAAATACTCATGTGAGTGCCCTGAGTGAAATTCCATTCCAGATTAATTATTTAACAACAGAATACAGCACAGCGCCAAGCATGCAAATGTGGTTGTTGCTGCCGTTATCATGAAGATCAGTTGGATAACATGTCTTGGTGTCTGTTTTGAAGGCTGTCCCTGTGCAGACTGACAGAGGAAAGCTGCACTTTCCTGGCATCTGCTTTGAACTTATCCGGTCTGAGAGAGCTTGACCTGAGCTACAACCACCCAGGAAACTCAGGCCAGGAGCTGCTGTCTGCTCTGCGGGACGACCCACAATGCAGCCTGCTGAAACTCAGGTATTGACTAGAAATTAGCTCATCATAGATGTATTGATATTGGTGAATGTCGGCTGGTAATAATACCATAAGATATATATTTTTTTAAATCAGGAGGCTGATAATGTTATAGGAGTGAAATGCTAATTTTGTGGAGTACTCTTCTGAACACATTAATGATATAAGTGTGAGAAAACTGTGGTCTTCTGTTATGTTTTAGTGTGGAAGAGTGTGGTGAATCCAGGATTCAGCCAGGTCCAAAGAAATGTGAGTCACCAGCACTTTGGACTTTTCTATTTCCTTCTAAAATCAAGACAATGTTAAGCAATGTTTAATACTGACTGACATTCTCGATCGGTTTCATCAGATACCAAAAAACTCACCCTGGACCCAAACACAGCACACGCAGACCTTTCTCTCTCCGAGGGAAACAGGAAAGCGCTGCGCTGGACTAAGCAGCCATTTCCTGATCACCCGGAAAGGTTCGATTTCTGGACGCAGGTGTTGTGCATGGAGGGACTGACCGGGCGCTGCTACTGGGAGACAGAATGGTGTGGGAGAGCTTTCATAGGAGTAGCCTACAGAAGGATGTGCAGGAAGGGAAAGGATCACGACAGCTGGTTGGGCAAAAATGACTTTTCCTGGGGACTAAACTGCAACAAAGATTGCTACAAGACCTGGCACAACGGCATGAGCACCACTTTAAACATCCCACCCAGCTCCAATAATGTAGGAGTTTATCTGGACTGGGCAGCGGGGACACTGTCCTTCTACAGGGTCTCCTGTGGTGCCCTGACCCTCCTCCATACCTTCCACACCACCTTCACTGAGCCTGTCTACCCGGGGTTTTGGCTTGGCTGGGTGGACTCTACTGTGTACTTGTGCTAAATGTAGTATTCTCTTTCTCCCTGCTTTTGAGCCATACACTTAAAGGACCAGTGTCTAGGATTTAGTTGCATCTAGCAGTGTAGTTGCAGATTACAAAATTCTTGCCTCACCCTCCCTTTTCAAGCATGAAGAAACTACGGTGGCCACATAACCCACCAAAAAAAAAGGGCCTATATGGAGTCAGTGTTTGGTTTGTCTGTTCTGGGCTACTGTAGAAACACGGCAGTTCAACATGGAGGACTCTGTAGAAGAGGATGTATCTCAACAACTGTTTGATGGATTGCAATTAAATGTTGTACAGTCATTCGTGGTTCCCAGAGGAAGAATCCAAATCACTTTCATGATCCCCTGACTTTTCCTGTAGCACCACAATGAGGTTGACATTTGTGGTTTAGAGTGAAATGTCTACGACAATTGAATGGATTGCCATGAAATCTAGTACAGACATTTATGTTACCTCTCATGATTAATTGTAAAACTTGTGATTCTGGTGATTACTGAACTTTTTATCTAGTGTCCTTTACTTGAGGTGGTTTATGACCACATACATGCAGAACTTATAACGTTGTTCAGATGTTTTAATTTTAAAATAGATATATTTTTTTACTGTAAATTTGTATTTTTTTTTCTTTCTTTCCACCTATTGTCTTACAATCCCTTGTATGTGAAAACCTACTAGGCAATAAACTTGAGTCTGATCAATCACACCCTTCATGCGTATTAGCTAATGTTAGCATGCTAACACACCACATTAAGACGTTAGAGTATTTTCAGGAAGAAAATAGCATTGGCAGCTAGCATGGGTGTAAACCTGCTTTTAAAGATTTACAAAAATATGTATTGGGTGAGAACTTATATATACTGTCAATAGGTGCGACATTTTACAGCAGAATACTAAAGTTAATAAACTAACTCTGGTGGACATAAAAAAGTTAAATCATTCAACACCATCTCTCTCCAGAAGGTGTTGATGTCACTCTGAAGGATCCACAGAACATTTTGTAATTGTATCTGAATGTCTGGATCACTGATTCCTAACCTGGGGGTCCCGACCCCCGCTAGGGGTTGCCACAGCTTCACAGAGGGTCGCAAGGCCTTCTTGATTTTAAGAGGTGTAAGAAAACATTTTTAAAATTACACTCTGGGCCTATATCTCAGCATTTCATTAATTTCTGTGAAGACATCTAAATTAAATTGTTGTTTTGGATTATTATTTAAGATATAAACTTCTAATAATAATCTCACAGGATAAGGGAGAGGTGAAGACCTGAACACAAGTCTTATTCACAGAGCCTCGTCCTAAAGTAGAAAAGTACGCAGTGAAGCAACCAGAGCCAGTAGAACAATAACCAAACGTCAGAAGAAATCACACAATTATAATAATATCAGCTCTGATGCAATATTAACAGAAAATAATCTGCTCAACATTCATCCAATTTGCTTGTTTAAACACAAACTTCCTGCAGTTTTGTGTTTACTATTTGGGTTAATTGTACAGTGTATTAGTTGTTCTGTACTGTTATTGTTATGCATTGAATATAATATAAAATATTCATAAAATATGTCACTTAGTAAGGGGTCGGTTACGTAATGATTAATAATGAATAGAGGTCGCTTAAGGATACTGGTCTACACGCGAAGAGGAAGTGAAAAAAGTTTTGTAATTTTGCAAAAAAAAAGTAAAAACTGTCTATACAGTGATTGTATATATAGACATAATGTGCACACCAATATGAACAGAATGAGCTTTGATTAAATTGAAAATATGTATAGGTATAATTTGTGGAAAAGCTAGAAAAGGGAGAAGCAAACTGTGGGGATTTCACTTTCAACAATCATTTTATTAGCAGTCCCAAGAGGCAATGAAAAAAAAAAATCAAAGAAAAAAAGGAACAGAAATCAAGATTACAGTCAAGACGGTGGGCTAATTAAAGTCAGTGAACATAAAGACGGAACAGAGGGCTGCACACACACCAAACAAAACACGAAAGTCACATTGTTAAAAAAGGAACCAAGTGATAAATGAAGAAGACTGAATTTAATCTTATGGGTAGTGTGTGTGTGTGTGTGTGTGTTGGCTGATCCCTCTGTTCCTTAGGAGAAATTCACCAGGACCGACCCCACATTCACACACACACACACTCTCACACCTCGCACTCACTCACACGCACACGAACATATCAAAAAAGCCAGTCAAGGTCTTCCTCTCTTCAGTAAAAGCCCTGATTTTATATTCAGGCTATTTGTGACAGAGAAATCAACCATCAACAAACCACAGCTGTTCAGGCAGGTCTTTAAAATTGTTATTTTCTATTAATTCTGTACAGATTATATATTTTTATTTACACACTGACTGAACATCGCCAGTGCGGAGACAACTCAAGATTTTGCGAACATTAACTGATGTCCATTTATCCGCTGTCATTCTGTGCTCATTTCTGTCTGCTGGAAATTGCTTTTTTTTGTACAATTTTGGACACCAAAACTGATCGATATAAAGTCTGCAGCACTACATGTCATCAACAGACAGAAACTAACCACGAGGGGGGTATTTCCCCCGCCGCCGTGATCCCTAGATCAAAATTTCACACCTGTCGTCGATTTCTTTTGTTCTTCATTGTGTCTGACCTTTTCTCGTTGCTGCATAGACTTTGAACTAATGAAAGCTTTCTCTCATAACAGAATCACAACATCTGGTTCATCAGTGACCAAACATCTGAGCGGATGTTTGCATCAGTAACGCAATCAACTGAAGCTGATTTTAAGCAAATCTGGATTGTACCAATTGCTCTAATGACTTGTTATCAGTCACAGCAGCCATATGAGCTTTATTTTTCAGTTTACTCGTGGACTCTAAACCCAGATTTTACATTTCAACATGCTTCTTTAATGCTTTCTGTGGGCGAAAGGTCATCAGGCTCCAGTTTCAGCCTTTAAATCTAGGCTTAAATTCATTTGCTCACATCTGGAGACATACCGGGAAATAAGAATCGGGCAGTGGGTGACTAATCCTCTCACATCTGGAAACACACACACATACATTATGGATGATTGGAGCAGCATGGGAAGGGGGTACTAAGGCCATGATTAAAAGGAGAGAAGAGACAGAAAACAACAGCATTTATTCATTCCATTTATGTCTTGGTACGTAGATGTCCTTCTCTCTATTGGGAATCAATCATATAAAAAGTGTTTGCTATCCGAGGGTCGTTTATTCACCCGAAACAGCCTTTTCAGTGCTAGTAATACAGACAGTTCACCGACTACAGTCAACATCAGCCGTCTCCGACACTCACTCAGTCTGTTGCATACATAATTGTTCACTTGTGTATATACATTACCCTCCCTCGTCAGTTATTTCGCTCCTGCTGTGTTGGAGCAGCAGATTTGAGGCAGAGTAAAGCTCTATTAACATCAGACTCTCTCTCTCTCTCGCTCATACACACACACACACACTTGCACTAACACACACACAACGAAATCTGCCAGCCGGTCTCTGATGCTCAGCTGACAGACAGCGAGGAGAGCTTTAGTTTATTAGGTTTAAAAAAAAAAAAAAAGATAAAGCGCTTTCTTTCACAAGGAAGGGTGAAAAGGGGAGGTGAGGGTGGGGCGGGGGGGTCATACAGGTGAGGGTGGGACTTTGTAGGCCTAGCTGAGAAGCTGGCGGATCTCCTTGTGCATGTGACACAAGAAGTCCACGTATGACGCTCCCCCGCTGGCGCTCTTGTCCTCGACCAAGAAGTGCCTGAATATCAGCTCGGTTCTGTCTTCCTGTTTCACCACCATCAGCTGCAAACAAGAGAGAGACGTGTGAGAAAGAGGGAGCACACAGGGGGAGGGCTCACTCCAATCGGGTATCAATAACTGTCAAGTAGGGCTGCAACTACAGATTATTTTACTATTGATTTACTAATTTTACTTTTTTGTCTATAAAAAGTCCACAAATAGTCACATTTGGGAAGCTGAAGCCAGATGAAGTTTGACATTTAAGCTTGACAACTGACTTAAAGGACCAGTGTGTAGGATTTGGTGGCATCTAGTGGTGATGTTGCAGATTGAATATGCCATTTGAATACAGCTCCTTCCAAGTCTGTAGGAGAAACTACGGTGGCTGTGAAATTTGTGAAAAACTAATGTATCTAAAGCCAGTGATTGTCTGTTCTGGGTGACTGTAGAAAAGGCCGGTCTCTGTGGAAGAAGACCTGCTGCTTCTGTAGATAAAAACGTCTCATTCTAAGGTAACGAACACACAACGATTCTTAATTTCAGGTCATTTACACTACAACGAAACACACTGGACCTTTAAAAGAATAATCTCTCACGATTCAATACAATTTATGATACTGGGTTTACTATACAATATTTAACAAAATGCGATTGGAGACGAATGATTAAATTAAGACAAAAATCTATCAAATATATTTTCTTCATCAAATATAGAATCTATCATTATTTTTATTTCTGAGGTAAGGTATAAACATGCACATTGAGTGAAACTGATCTCTTTGCTGATACCAAGATTAATATCATGATTCATTTTTCATCTCATTGATTTGAATCTTCACATATTTGTATTGCAATCTCCCGGTCTTGTGATGTATCTTTACATTTCTAGTTTAGACAGTTTTATTTAGATTAACTTCCTGTTTGTCTGCTCGGTTTCGGCACTGATGAACAGAAGAATTCGACATCTTTTGTTAAGGATATAGAGACAACAACTTTGTTTAGGTCTTGATACTGAGGCTCAGTTACCATATTGGTAATATATCAGCTGCCAGCCACCAACAGCACAGAGCAATAACGAAAGAGAGTCAGAAAGTGTTTGGACACAAAGACAGAGGAGGAAAAGAGTAAGTTTACCTTCATGTATCGTGATCGCTGAGCTCTGAAGGAGTCTATGATCTCTCTGAGTCTCTGAGAGAAGGGGTTGTCCAGCACTGGCAGATTGGTCTGAAACACAGAGCAGTGACATTCAGCTTAGAAAGTTAAGCCAATATGAAATACATATGGCAATAGTAGCAATATATACTGTACATCACACAACAAGAAAATAAACCCTAAATAAAATCTTTGTTTACTTCAAAGTAATGTATTCCACTGTTATACATAAGATTAAAAAAAGACTGTTCTCTCATTAAAACTACACAATCATTTTGTTCTTCTTGGGATCAAAAATTTGGTGAATAGAATTTAGCAAAACAATAACACAATATGATTCCACTAAAACTCAACTTACATACATTAAAACAATCAGATTAATAGTAAAAACAACTTGTAATACATAAATATTAGGTTTGGAAATATAATAGTAAGTTATTTGCCAAACAACTCTTTTATATGAAATAGTGATGAATATCCAATGTCTTGGAAACATGCACGCACATGGTTTGGAAGATTCCAGTATTACTAAATGTTAGTTCACTTGATAAATGGTGTAATAATGTGTTGACCAGGAAAATGATAGAAAAGACTATTATAGACACTAAATAACCTTCATTTTTCATTTCTGTCTCCATGTTCCTGACAGCTATTAGGCATTTTAAAGTTGGAAGTGGGCAGAGAGTGACATGGAAGTAAGAGATATTACACAGATTACGATTAAGTTTGGGATTTCTAGTTAGTAGAAAATGTTGGAATAACAGTGAGTTTGTTTAACTGAAACATACTGGAATGCCTTTACATTTAGCTAAGAAACAAATATTTTGATTGGATAATTCTTAAGTTTGGAATCCACAGTATTTCTACACATCCAGTTAACCGTTTTTTTTGTAGGGGATATAACGGAGAAACTGTAATATAAAATCCCTAAATAGAAGCATGGTACGTTGGAGAAGAGCTGTACAACTTCGGCCCTTATAAACACAGCCACGGTCAACAAACATAACATGGGAGCCGATCCGTTTCCTCTCACCATGCTCGGCTCTATCTGGCTGAAGCTCGGCGTGCCGAAGATGTTGAGCAGCAGCTCCTGCTGAACGTTGGCTCCCACCCACAGGAAGAGGTGGAGTCCCGTCTCCAGGAGGTAAACTCCACCTTTAGACAGCCTCTCCTCTGAGTCCCTCACCGCCACTGGCAACGACCCGCTTTCCAACTTCGTCTGGAAAGTCCAAGAAAATCAACAACATTAGATGAATTATGATAAATGACAGTGTTTGCCATCTACCAAAAGTGTTTCATTTTCCTCCCCTGCAAAGTATTGTTTTAGATGTTTACAGATGAAGAGACTCGAGGTAATGCAGCCCATCCTTTCTATTGTGCAATAAATTGGTAAATATATGTGTTGTAAAAGATTCTGGTGTGTAATAAGGAAAAAAAGGAGCTGGTAAAATAAAACACCACACTTTACACATTCACTAAAACGGCAGGATTAATTTGAGCTAGAGACGCACACACACACAAAAATGAGCATTAAAATGGTCATTTTATTTTTCACAGTTTGAACACTCGAGTGTGCAACACTTGTTTTAGCTTAAGGTATCACTATTGTAGAAGTTTCTGAATGAACCGTAAAAATATAAGCTCATGCTGAACAGAAGGCTGTATGCAGGCAGTCCTCTCGTTCATATGAAGTCTGTTGGCACAGCAGGGGCGCGATAGTTGAACCTGGCTCGACTTTTACTGCATCACATTACCCGACAAGGCCAATAAAATACATGCCAGCGCACATTCCTGGCAGAATACCTTTCACATGAACCCCGTATTTCTAGTGATGACCTCTGATTGCTGTGACAAAAGATAAAATAATTGCTGCAATGATAACGTTCCTGAATTATGTGTCCGATAAGCCTTTAAACACATAAATCTGCGACTACCTTAAACACCAACGCAGGGCTGATTAAGTCTGCAATGCTGCAGGTGAGAGAACACATATTACAGTGTTCTAAAGATAATAGTGGTGATTGAAATGCCCATTTTCACACGTGATGCTATTTTAAGTTTGTCAGGGTTCAGTGAGTGCGTGTACTGGTACTGACGCCGACGCCATAAGATGGACATGGAAAATGATCAGGTGACGAGAGGAAACCTTTGTGTTGGGGTGTGCGTGTGAATGTGTGGTCTCACCAGTGGCAGCAGGCGGGGGTAGAAGAATACGTGGCTCTCTGCGACGTCCATGCAGCTAATCAGCTGCCTCAGGTAAGCCCGGTCGTCCAACGAGACGTCGGCTCCCGGCAGCAGCACGTCGCTCTTCAGCACGCAGTTCAGATAGACAGGCAGCAGCTTCATACACTCTGGGAGGATCAGCTGGAAAACACACACACACGGATATAAATACCTGAAGTGACACTTAAATGTGTAAAGGCAGAGTAATTAACTGAGACACTTTGGCATTTATGTTATTTGTGGTACACGGAACGACTCTATTTAGCCAAAAGTTGAGAAAATCTGCATTTGTCTATGTATTTCTCTAAGTGGTGTCTTCTGGGTGTATATAGAGTATACTGAGGGCTTTCAGTACCTGACCAGCAGATGAGGGGCTTGCGCAGTTCTTTCGATAGCAGGCCAGAATCTGAGCACACTGGTTGACCAGAGTGTCTCTCACTGCCTTGGTGGGGTTGCTGAGGACGCCACGGAAAGCTGCAACACACAAAAACACACACATATAAACATACCGACTGTAACAGCGATGACTTTTAATTAATCAACCACCATTAAATAAGTAGGTAATTATATGCGATTTAATAAAATAAGCTGTATTACACCGATTACAGTTTCCCCATCTTCCACCTTCCTTTCTCCTGTGGATGGTGAGTAAATGATGACGATGATCTGCTTCAAACTTAGAAAGCTACAAACTATCAGGAGCAGCTGCAGCTCTGTACTCTTGGAGCAGCTGGGGGATGCTTGATAGTATTTTTAGAAAATGTGACTCATTCATTTCTCCACTCACACCTTACTCAGACCTTTAGAGTACAACAGTGTTGCATTGTACGCTCCGTGACTCCGACACTGAATAACAAAGAAGAGGATATTATAGAGAGCGTGCCGGTCCTCACCATATTTGGAGAAGAAGTTGATGATTGTGTCTGTCTCACAGTTGCGGTACAGGTCAGCCAGCTGAGAGCAGCAGTTCACCGCCATGTTGTGGACGCGGAGACGCCTCTGGCCACTGCAGCTGGTGTATAGCACGGCGCACTACAGTGAAACAAAACAAGTGTGTGTCAAGTTTTCCAAAATACAATTGCAGCTGAAGCAGCGCCAACCCAAAACGCACACAGAAAGACAGGTTATTATTCAAATGTTTGTAATTTACATTTCCACAGTAACAAAGTCAGTATACTATCTTGTGTGACTTTTCATTTGTGTCTCTGCTTTAAAGACAATTACCCTAAATCACTGGCCCTTCAGATCCGGCTACTTTGTTATTTGATTAACTGACCGATTGATTTCATGTAATGGCTGCCAGATAAGGTGGCTGCAATCAACTACAGCTCCTTGTAGGACAGACAACCAGCAGTAATCTGAAGCACACAAAGTTAAGACTATCCAAATATGGCTGAATTGTAAATTATTAATTAAATGTGTTCCCTTATTAATAAGAATATCCTTCAGAAGATTCTGTTGCACACCTGCATGAGTGCCCCCGTCTCCTCGCTGAGCTTGTCATCATGTTTGAACTCGACAGTGATGGCCTTGTCACAGTCCAGGCCTGCTAGCTCCACATCTGTGGTGTTACTCATAAAGAAGGAGCCGAAGAAGTCTGTCGCTCGGATACCTGAGGGGAGGAGAGGGCGATTACAGAGGAAGAAGAGGAGGGATCATGAGCTCAAATGACACATTAATTATAATATAATAATATAATATTTTTTGTTTTCGAGTGGGGGAGCCTCACCTGTACTGGTTCGCACCCTCATGACAGCATCAAACCCTACTAGTTTCTGAATGTCTCGTCTGAGGTCGTTCAGGAATCTCTCCTTGTCCGACTGCGCCTGGGATAAAGACACCATGTGTTACGCACAAAAGTAACATGTTACACAGTGGCAAATCATCTAGCTGCTATTTGAACACAATTCTATCGGAGCAAAAAACACTAAAGAGTAATGACAGCATTATAGGGACTACAGTACAACATTAAACTCAGTACACTGCAAAACCTAATTGTTGCCTAAATATAACCCATTGCAGCAGTTTCATAATGAGACAGAAAGAGGAGAGAGGTGACTGTCTCTCACCTGGAAGTAGGTGTATTTGTAGACAGAGCCTCCAGTGGAGACAGGAACCACCCCTAACGTGGCAACGTCTACGTATTGGTTGGGGAACGTATACTACTAAAAATATATTTAGAATAATATATTGAAGAGCGAAGAGCAGTATGTGAATGATTCACACATTTTACATGTTTTCCTGTGCAATAAACCACAACACTCCTTAGCCAGGGTGTTGTAGAAACCCACCTGGGGCTGGAACAGAGACTGAGGAAGACAGGAGAGGAGGGGGAGTCAGTGTGAGACGCCTTTGGAGAAATACAATCATTACATTGCAGCACACAAAACAGCCTAAATCCTCTTGTTAACAATACGACTGAATATACAGTGAGCACAATTTGTGTTACGCTGGTGTTTACCTTTTCCTTATCTGTCCCAATCAGCTTCTTGTCTTCTCTATTTTTTAGTTTTCCAGGAGCCTCTGCGATGGGCAGAGAGGTGTGAAACACAAACAGCTTCCCTGCACAGTCCGCAGCCTGAGAAAAGACAAACAGCAACATAAAAATCATCAGGTGTCAGTGGCTCTGTACAGACTCAGTATCGCATATCCGGATGCATTAAGACTGGGCTGAAATCCCTTGAGTCATCCCTACACATTTTTAGTGAATGTTAGAGGGTTCACTTATTATAACTCAGCAAAATGTAAATACACCTGATGTGACAGGTTTACATTAACATCACCTCAGGTGTATTTACTACAAGAAATATCACACATCATCATCTTTTTTCAATCCAAAATGTTCTGGGAACTTTAAGCGTCAGGAACTAAAATTCAGGAAAAGGTGTAGTTCCTACAATTGTTCATGGAAAATGCTGTGGAAACGGGTCAGTGTCCCGTCTTAGGAAACCATAAATTAAAATATGTTTACCTTGAGTGCCTCCAGTCCTGCCTGGATGACAGGTCCAAAGACTGTCTCTGTCTCCCTGGTGTCTGCAAACATCTCTGGGATCTGGTCCAGCAAACTGGAAAACACAATCAGCTCGTCATTAAACCCAATCAATTTGTTCGTCCACAAACACAAAACACATGTGGTTTTAATGTGTGTGTGTGTGTGTGTTGTGTGTGTGTGCTGTCTGTGCTGTGGTGCTGTGGTGCTCTGGTTTAGGTCCACCCACCTCTCAATAACTAGCCGGCTCTCGTTGACGTTGACGAGGAAACCGTCAAGCAGGGGCACAAACATGTCCGATACATCCGACACCACCAGCATCTGGGGCTGGGCCAGACTCGACTTGACGTTGTAGAAGTGTAAAACCTTGTTGTAGGTGACAAAACCCACCCGAACCACAGAGTCCATTTCTGGGTTCTCCCTGAAGGCAGGAACATAGGATGAAATATGAGAACGATCAAGTTTGCTTTTTTTTTATTAACATCTGAGCGTATAAACTAGCAGTGTGTTTAGTAAATCTTCGCTCTTAAGAGGAAATGTTTTTTCTTCCCCCGCTTCCTTCTTTTCCATTTCTAACTCTTTGCTTCCTTCGTTCCTCTTTATCCCCTGACTTTACTCTCATTCTTCTTTCCTTGCTACATGCTTCAATTCTTCCTATCCTATCCATCCTAGCATTTTCTTTGTCTTTCTTTTTATCAGTCTTTTCCTTGGTTCCTTTTCCTATCTTCATCTTTCACTCTTTCCCTGCTCCTTTCCTTCTTTGCATCCCTTGTGTGTTTATGTGTTTGAGTACCTGGGCAGATAGTCTAGGAGGGTCTTGAGTTCCTGGCAGACAATGTTGACCATGCCGCTCTTCACTGCGTTGTAGGAAACATCAATAAGGAAGATGAAGGCTGGAGGCTGAGGAAGCTTATTGTTCTGTTAGGGACAAAAACATCAAATACTACGTAAGAATTCATGTGTAAATAACAGCAACACATTCACTTAATTTTCTGACCAACTGAATTAGGATAAAAAGAAATAAAAAATATTAAAAAGGTTTAACATTCACTGAAAAACTGGGTGGTGTATCAATGTCAGACAAACTGAAGGGGGGGGTAGGTTAAACTATTTTGTAAGCTCTCTATCCTGTCAATACCAAAATCGATCCAGTACCCATCAGGATAGAAGATACCAGAACGTATTGTTAGCTGCCCTACACAGAATCATTGCCAAACCGATGGCCATGAAATAAAATGTATATCAAACCAATTTCAGCAAGACTCACTTTAAACAGCAGCCAAGGGGCTTTACCTTTATTAGTTCATTAAATAATAACTGACTGGATCATTTTTGTAAATGTCTTTGTTCATTGTTGTATCACTCTGACCTCTAATAAGCTTCTATTCCACAGAATTATGTTTGAGGATGCCTGAAGAGATTCATGGGTAAAAGATCCACTTCAGACTATAATTTGAAAGACCATTACAATACCAAAAGAGAGCTCTTTGAGCCATTATAGTAGTTGTTGTTGTTTCCTGCAGAAAGGAATGCTCTTGATAGCAGGACTTACCTTACAGTAGTCAACGGTGGCCAGGAACTCGTAGCTGCCCAGGGAAAGCTCCGGCCTGTCATAGCAGTCCACCCTCTTACCAGTGTGGTCCAGATGCTGGAAGTAATGTGGAGGCACTATGGGAAAAAGAGACAGGAGGGACAAACAGATGAAATCAGTACAGCGAACTTAGTTTAGAAAAACAGGTTTAAACACACAAACTCTGACTCACCCTCTGTGACGCAGCTGCAAAACCCACACTGGAAGCGGCGACCTCCCTCTATGAACTGCATGTATGGACACATGTAGGCCTTGCAACGGTTGCAGCGGATTGGACCACTCTCGCCATGGTCTACCAGGTATGGAGGGCTCTGGTAAGAGAATCAATAAAAGGAGTAAGAGAATGCCCATCCAATAAGTTGAGTCATACAATTTAGCTACAGGGGTGACTTCATCTATGAGGACACAGTGACTGAAACAGGAGGTAATGTGTGCTCCTCCCTTAACAGTAAATATTTACACCATCTTTTATATAAAGCGGCCAAAATGATGTAATGTAAAACTGGTCCAAATGGATATTGGTTACACGTGGTGGTTGCATGAAACAAGGTCACGCAGCCACTCCCACCACCGTGATGTTGAGATTATCCCGCTGACATTACAGGAATCCTGTGATAACAACTACATATCAGGCTGAAAAACTAATCTTTTTTCAAATCAGGTTATGGGTGGAGACTGTCCCACTGCTATGATAATCTCGGTGGAAGATAGACCTGCACTGTGGAACATAAAGATGAAGAGAGTAAAAAAAAAGGGATGGTCAGATTAACGCTGCCATCCATCTCAACACTTGTCTGCAAGGTTATTTCCATTACTGATTATTTTGACAACTTCTTTCTCGATTAATCATGTGGTCTATAAAATGTCAGAAAACAGTGAAACATATACTACAACAATTAGTCAATTATCACTATCATTATAACTAATCGATAAATCATCTTATCAGTGCAGCTCTAAGCACACAGCCAGGAACCAAAGATAATATGCTATGAATATTTTATACAGAGCTCTTTTGACTGTCAACCTCTATAATCGCATCCTACATTAGGTCCAAAACCAATCTTCCTTCGTTTGCTTTCAGCCAGCTTTCCAATTAACACAGTTAATCTCATGCTCTCATGATACTGGGTCATGCACTAACAGCTACAGATCAGACAAAGCTGTAAAAAAAGAGCCCTAATTAAATAGGACTTACAAAAATTACAAGAAATTAGGGGCATCGCTCACCTCATCTGGCGGCAGCGTGGCGAGGGGCTTGATGACGGCGGCCAGTGGCACCTGAGACTGCTTGGCCATATCAGCTGTGCAGGGCATATTGTAGGCCGTACAGCGGACAAACCTGGGACTGGCATTCCCTAAACACAGACACAGATTCTCCATTAAAGGCACAATCTCTACACAGTCCACACAGCATCCTGCCAGATGTGGAAGTGTTAGTAGAACCTACCCTGGTCTTTGACCTGGAAGTTAGTGGTGACCAGCGGTGGGGCCTGACCTCTGACCCCTGTGGTGAATGGCTCGTTGCTCTTAGCCTTGTCATCTTCTATTACCTGGATCTAAACAGGAGAGCAGGGGGCACAAACGTCACAACCTTTATACACGTTTGCAGCATAAATACACACATTTAAGTGACATTACACATTATCCCCGGGTCTCAAACAATCTACAGGAGGAACATTTAACACCCATGCAGGAGACAACTTTCACACAACCTCTACACACACACCTGCAGTTACCAAACACACACCCATCAACTGCTGTGGATAAAAATGGCACATTCAGCCATGACTAAGGTGACATATGGTACAAATGCATGCTGAAGTAAACTGCGTAGATTTACAAATACGACAGACTGTAACCGAATTAAATCCCCTAGAGAAAAGGGATTTATGAAGGCATGCTATTAATGCAAGGAATTGTGGGTAAGTCAGAACATTTCAGGCAGGCATGCAGGGCACAGAGAGAAGGCGGTGGCTGTCTGAAGATGGGCTGCCTTACAGTCCTGAACACAAAGACGGTGAGGTGGGAGTGAGGCAGTGGGGTTATGGGATCCAGTGCATATGAGGATACGTAGAAGGGAAAACTGGGGCCACAATAATATGACTCAACGCGGTCTCTAAGACACAAAGATGATTCTTACGGGAATAGTTCAACATTCTGGGAAATACAATTATTTGCTTCCTTGCGGAGATAATCACTGGAAGCTAACCAGCTACAAAATAGTTATCCAGCACAATTTCTGCTGTTTTTACACTTGGCTTCTTGTATGGATGAAACAAAAGAGATACAAGGTGTTAATTAGTAAGCTTTACAGTTGCTGGCTGACAGACTGTGTTACCTTTCTGTCTTCATGCTGAGCTAATTGAGCTGGCTGCTGGCTTCATATTTAGCATACAGACATGTGTGGCATCAATCGTCTCATATTACTCTCGGCAAGAAAGCATTTTTTCCCCACAAAAATCTCAAACTACTCATTTAAATGATCTGTGACTGGGATGACTGATCATGAACAGACATAGTAAGTAGAAGTTGTTCTTATTTAAAAAAAAAGATTGTGGCTATTGCTGACTCTGAGGGGATCGACGGGAAGAAGAGGATGTGGAAGCTGTAGGTTAGTGCAAGCGTACGGAGAGGACAGGAAGCAGAGGACAAGGCAGGCACACAGGAAACTTACTGGGCTGGGGATAGCGTCTGGATCTATTCTATGTCTTGATTTCTGCACAGCCGGCATGTCAGACGCTTGCTTTACATTCAAAAGTTTGTCCAGCAAATTGTGCAAAACAGGACAAAATAAATAAATACAAAGAGTGAAAATATAAAAAGGAGTGTGAAGAGAGAAAACTCAGCAAGACTATGCTGAGCAGCAGGCAGAACTGTTGTTATTCAGACAGAAACTTATCAGTAGTATTGATTATAGATTAGTAGTACTGTAGACTATGACAGTCAAGCGCAAGTAGATATAGACTAACATACCAGTAGCCTGACTCACATGCTAAGCAGCTGTATATGTAAACAAGGCCACAGAAGGTTACAAACAAGTGAAAACATGACTGTTAGGCCGGAGATATACTGGCTTTTAACTATGCGTTCGCATGATGGCTAACTTGCGTATCTTGCGTCCGTTTGGAGCCGCTGGTTGTGCACATGCTCAGAAAATTAACGCAACTCAGGCGCATAGTTAAAAAGCAAGTATATCTCCGGCTTTAGACTTCTAACAGTAAGGCAACAATAGGATAATCATAGGGTCATTCTCAAAAATCAATGTATAATATGTACTGTGATTACCAGTAGTAAATCTGATCTCACAGGTTGATGTTTATACTTTTTTCCCACCTGAATTTTACATCGTTGTAAATGTGTGAATTCAGTTACGTGCTTATTACTGGAGTCATAGTTAAAGGTGGTGTTGTATTACATTGAGATGTGTTTCTTTTTTTTCTCTGAATATAATACAGATCAGTACAACAACATCACTTTGTCCTCAATACTACATTTAAATTAAAACCTCCATCAGTGTAAAAAAACCTGACCATTATAGGCATCAAGAAAGAGGACTCCATGGCAGAACTGCTGTATTGAACTGCATTAGACTGTGCAGTGTAAATTAGGCACTACTACCTTATATCAGAACATGGTGTAAAGAACACAAATGGTCAGAGGTCTGCTCACCGGACTGGGAATGGCATCTGGGTCAAGTCTTTTCTGTGCAGGGGGAGCCGGAGCTGGTGCTGGTGCAGGGGCTCCATAGTTTGGTTGTCCGGGATAAGGGCCTGCATATCCAGGCTGAGGGCCTCTCACCTGTCCAAATGCACCTGAAGATCACAAGAAAATACATTTGTGATGAAAAACAAGTGAACACTGTGTAGCTTCTACTTAATGGCTCTCTCCTCACCATTCTGCTGAGGAGGGTATCCTCCCTGCATGCCGAGCTGAGACTGAGGCTGCTGCAGGGGCCCAGGGGGGCCCGGGGGTCCCGGTGGTCCCGGTGGGCCCTGTGGTCCTGGAGGGAGGTGGTTACTCTGGGCCATGGAAGTGGGGGGCATCTGGACACCGGAAGGGGGAGGACCTGAGAGGTAGGGGGGTGGCTGGGATGGAGGGGGCTGCTGATGGGGTGGCATTGGGCCTGGGTACTGGCCAGAGGAAACTGAGGTGGGAGGAGGAAAAGACCCAGGTTGAGAGGAAGGAGGGGGTGCTCTAGGTGGGAAGGAGCCCTGGGCAGGGGGAGGAGGGCCGGACACAAAGGCAGGCTGGCTGACAGGTGGAGGTGCTGAGGAGAAGGGGGGCTGGGCTGGAGGGAAGGGCTGCTGTGGCTGGGACACTGGGGGAGCTGGAGCCTGGCTGGGTGGAGGCACAGGACCCGAGTAGGAGGAGGGAGGGAAGGTTTGCTGAGAGGCGGGAGATAAGGTTTGCTGAGAGGGCGGGGGAGGCGGCGGTGCGAGAAAGAGGTGAATGCTGTTGAAGAGGTATGGGGGAAGAGAAGAGTGAAGATGGCTGCTTGAGAAGGAAGGCGGTGGCCCCTCCATAGTCACTGCCTGAGGTGAGAAGCTGCAGGGCCACTGGGAGGTGGTGGCTGGGTCGGGGCAGAGGATGCGGGGGGAGGGGCTTGGGTGTACGAGGGCGGAGGTGCGGCCGAGTAGGCAGTACTGGCAGGAGGCTGGGAGCTGTGAGGTGGAGCTGAGGAGAGAGCGGCAGACAGTGTGATTATCTCCAGCTGACTCAAAGTCTGACACATGAATCTACAACACGTTTGTTAACATACGTCACGTTCACACAGATTACATGTAAACGTACCGTATCCTGGGCCTGCGGGGGTTGGCGGTCCAGAGGTGATCTGCATCCCAGTCATCTGGTTAGTGACCTGCTGCATTGAGGGTGGGTGCCCGTAGTGTTGGTGATAGGAGGGATGCCCCCCTGACAGGTTCACAGGCCCCTGGTTGTACGGCTGAGGCACAGCAGGCCTAAAAAAAAAAACAAATCTTTCAGTGTGTATACAATGCACCCAAGTAACTGTCAGTTTTCTACAGTAAGCTGATTTCTTAAACGGCCTGTAAATTGGGAACTGGTTTACATAATCGAGTTAGGAGAGATTATTCTCTGGCTAGATTTCTCCTGGAGAACCCTCATTTCTTGGCCATGTATGAATGAGCAGGTTTCTCTTGTTTCACATGTGCATATGTGCAGGACAAAGACTTTACAGAGACACGTCTGAATGAGAAGGGGAGATCCTTACACATTAATCTCTTAGTCTCTTATATAACCAAAGCAAACCTCAGACACATTCTTGCTGGGGGGGGGAAGGCTCCACTCTGTCTGTCATCACTGTCCTGTCAGTCTGGTCCAACACACATACCCACAAAAATAGTCAGGACAGACTGACGCAGCATCTTCTATCCTTAATGTTGTTCAAATAAGAAAGCCATGCTTCCACCGTTCGGGGTAGAGGAGAAATCTGACTGCTGACCTGCTGTGTGGTTATGTGGACTTCCAGTAAGCCGATTACTTAAGTGCATGTAAACTCACTGCTTAACATGATAAACATATTGAACTACCGGCTGTTTAACTACAGTTTGGGGCTGTAACTAGAAACCGTGCATTTAGAGAAAGCAACTGTTAGACAGCCTTCATAAACTTCCCGACATTAGAGTCTCCTGCAGCAGTTCAGTATAATATTATCCTAGAATGAAGGACTTCAAAGTCTTCGTCTTTGCAGTGGCAGGCTTTATCTTGTGTTTAATACCAGCACATACAGAAAAAAGAAAACTCAATATTAGCAGCAATTGGAACTCCAGTTTCTCACATCGCATTGACAGTGTTTTTGAATAATTTGCTTTGGTGGGTTTGGAGTCCACTTTCACTCCTAACTAACCTCACGACAGTCTTCTTGGAGGAGCTCCAAGTCCTGAGGTTTCAGACAGCCTCAGTGCAGTTATTCAGTGTGTTTAAATGGACTCTGTCACCCACTTCAATGAGCTGAGCTTATGAAGTGAAAGCTTTGAATAATGGAAGTGTTCACTGTATCTCTGTTGATAAAAGTTTTACATATTGATTCAAAAACCTAAAAACACTACACATCAATCAAGCAAGCAACATTAAATTACCTGGGTGGTGCCTGTGTCATAAGTGGGGGTCCATTCTGCATGTCGCCTCGACTGTGACTGTACTGATTATACGGTTGAGGCGCGGAGACAGGGGGGGCTCCAGAGGCGGGAGGACCCCTGGCAGGACCTGAAATGCAGAGACAAAATATTACACACCTGCAAAAAAGCGCATTATCACCCCTGCAACAAATAATCCTCAATTCACTCTGATATCAATCTTTCAAACCCAAAGAGATTAGTGCAGCAAGCGAAACATGCCTATAGACCACTGCTGGATTTACCTCTACGGTGAGGAGCACAGACTACATACTGAAACCAGGTGAGCAGAGACTGTGTACTAAGAGGGTCAAGTTTAATTCATGGGACCAATATTCTGATTGAGGCTGGAAATAAACACCAGACATCTGACAATTTTAGGATGTCGCTTGTATGAACGGCAGATAAAATCCAGCTAATCTTACCGTTTTAAAACTGTCCGAGTAGTTTGAGTAGCAAAATAAAGCAGTCTACCTTCCCTGCTGGACATCATAATAACATCAAAATATGTGTGTAAAAAGTACAATGTGAACAAACTGAAACTAAGTATGACCAGTGGATGCAGAGATTGAATTTGGAACATCTAGGTCACATAATAAAAGTGTGATTCACATTTCTGGGTAACGCAAACGCTTGGTAATAAGAAGGTTAGTAACTGGTTGGCTGCTACACTGAACAGTCACTGGTGTTTGGTAGAAAAGATCTTCTGTTTGTAGGCTGAGAAAAAGTCACGGCAGCAAAGATAATGCGCGTACAGAGAGGAGTCGATGATTGCAGAGCATGTGGAGTGTGAAATGAGCAAGAACAAGAGAGGAGGCAGTTACCTAAGTCAAGAGGAGAGGAGAGGTCAGAGACTGGGTTGGCAGCCACAGCCTTAGAGGGAAAGCTTGTGAAAGGAGAATAACCTGAAATACAAGAAAAGAAGGAAGGAGGGCAAATACAAAGAGATGTAGGGGGGAATGCGTAAAGCCACGTGGAGAAATGAGATTCAGATTAGTATGCACAGACACAGTGCTGTTCTCACACACACACACTTGAACAATCACACGGCGAGAAGCAGGTAGAAAGACACTCCAAGGTTATGAGTGTGTTAGCACTTGAAGAGCATCGCAGCTGACCCGGCCTCTCCCTCACTCTCGACTCACTCCCTTAAAAGCAAACTTTCTCCGAAGGAACTTCTTACCTTGTGGCGGAGCCCCGGGCTGGTAGGCCGACGCAGGGCCGTTGTAGGGTGCGTAGGGTGCAGGGTATCCCCCATCCAGGGGTGCGTAGCCAGGTTGGCCGTAGCCGGGCTGGGGCTGGCCGTACGGAGAGGCCATTGGAGTCGGCTGGTTTACATTCATCCTCAGTTCATCCCTAAATCTGGATGAGATTGTGACAGAATTATAACACACATGTAAGAATTTGACTGCCACTGAAACCTGCTTAGCTCGTTTCCAGGTTCTAAACAGAGATTTCACAACCGGGTTGCCTCAAGTGTAAAAGACTGAGACAGAGTTGGGTTCGCAGCCTGAAGGGACAGTCTTTCCAGTCGTTCCAGGAGCTGGGGACAATCTGCTTACTCCACGAGGAAAACATCAGAACCTCCAAAAATCACACAACAACTGATCTTAGACGCAGCGCACACACTCTCTCAAACAAGAAAAGAACATAATAAAACACAGCTCTCAGCTCTACAAGCTCAAACCTTCTTGTAACATTAGTACTTCCTGTTTCAGTGACACCTTTATTAGCTTTTTATATTTACCTTGGCCACACCCACAGCTGCATCTTACTCAGGAGCCATTAGTTAAGTTTACACACACACACTTTATTGTTTGGGGGTCTGTACCGAACAAACATGCTCACTTAAATCCGTCCAGTGTTCATCTCTATGAATGACAGTATGAATGATGTTTTAAATGAAAACAAGTCACTAGACTAACACCTGAAGCAGACGCAAACAACAAGACCAGCAGCTATTCTCTCCGCTTTGAGGGCTGAGATTAAATACCAGCTCCTGTGCAGACAGTGTGTAATGTCTACTGGGGCTCAAACCTGTGTAAAGTGTTAAACTCAGAGGGGGCAACTTCAGGATTGCTCCTCCGCGTCAACTTCCACCTCGCTAGCAGAAGTGTGTTTACCCACCCGGCTTCTGGAGACTGGCCTAACTTATATGACAAGAGAGATGAGGATCAGCTAACAGACAAACACTTGGCCTTTGAATAATTCAGCAGTGCAGGTGCCACAACGAGAAACACAATCCACAATACCGGAGCCGCACAGCCTTTAGGTACGTCGGGCCTACTGAGTGACCCACATCTGCTCCTCTGGTAGGTCGAGGCGAGGAGCAGGGGTTGAGCAATTACAGCCACACACCAGGGGAACACGTGTATTTAAGGTAATAGTTTGTGGGAGTAGGAGAGATTAAAAGCAGGGAGACTTCAGCTTCGTGGTGGTGAAGGCGAGGGGAGGCTAGCGAGTGTGGCTAACAACCTCAGTGCCGCCGCGTTTTAATCGGCTCGTTAGCTCAAAAAATAATAAAAATACACATCAAAACACAAGAAGGCTGGTTGACACTTACGAGTCCAACCCGACGCGGTAAACAACGTTTTTTTTTAGGTTTCAGCCAGTTAGAAAACTTCCCCCAAAAACAAAAAAAATAAAAAAGCCAAAAGCGGGGAGCTAACTTAGCTTAGCTCCCGTTAGCACAAACCTAACCTACTTGAATCCCGATGACAGCTAAGTGTTTGAATCAGCTGTGGTCAGAGAGCCTCAACACGAAGAGGAGGAAGAGAGGAGGAAGAGGAGGAGAGGAGGAGGAGGAGGAGGTATGTACGGGTAGCAAACGTTAGCTCACTGATGCTAAGCTACTGCCTTAGCATTAGCTAGCGTTAGCAAAACGTAGCAAAAAAAAAAAAAAGCGAAGTGAAATCCGGAGATGTGACACCGGTTCAACGTGAAGGACACATACCTGCGGAGTGTGGGGGAATGGGGAAAGGTTGTCTTCTTTTCAAAACTGTGATGAGGGGAGGAAAGAAACCCGGCGGCCGACAAACTGTGAAGTGGATGTGGGTCCCGGGGTGTTTCTCACTAATCCCTCCTCGGAGTCAGGAGCGGACATTCAGCGGAACTGCTGCAGCGCTGTGCCACGTCCACATCCGGACACCGTAGAGACACTTCCCCCCCCCCTGCGTTCACCTTCTGTAGTGGACCCACCGCACCGCACCGCACCGCACTGCCCGCAGCACACACAACACACATACTGTATGGTTGTTATTTTAACTGTAGGAATTATATCGATATTACGACGGAGTATTAGGGCCATACTTAGAGAA